ATACATATAGTGTATAGGCATTCTAATACATTATAAACATTTTTAAAAATCAAAGCAATGAAAAACTGATAAAAGATAATTTATAACTCTCAGAACTAGGAAGTAATCCAATTTAATTATAATAGGAAGTACATAAGAGTTAGACACATAATAGGCTGAATTTCAAGGAAAGAATCTAATTAAATTCGAACTTGAACCCTTTTAGGCCAAATCGAATTGGGCCTCAATCAGTTTATTGGGTATGACCGAACCGTTAAATCGAAAGCTCTCGCATATCGCACGCAAACCAGGTGCTAATGAGGCATTTTGTTTCTGCTTTTGGCTAATTTATTGTTTACGGCCGTGTTAAGAGAGTGGCGCAGATTTAACGGTACAAGCGAAAGGTTGGCCCAAACATGCAAATATCACTTCGCCAGAATCCCGAACCCAGAACAAAGCCCAATCAATGGCTTTAGTCTAAGCACGATGTTTATTTCCAGACAGATCATAGATCTTCATTTTCTGTTCTTCTATTTCCGATTGGTTCATTGAACGATTTTAGACGATCTTTTTTTGGGATCTGACCCATCTGCAATCGCATGGTACAACACCTCCCCATCCGCATTCCCGATCCGCGGTTCGCACCTCCAGTCGTCATTCCCAATTAATCATCGCTTTGGCTTGTTGATCCAATCGCATTTGCTTTGCAAAAGACACAAGAGCGTTACAAACTGGGAAAGTGCGAAAGAGAGAGGGCGAAACACGTTTATGGAGGGGGTGTACACGGTAAAAATTTGCGGTTTGGCATTTAAATATTAGTAAAGTAGATAACACCGATGAGTAATGCATCGGTAAAATAATGCATTTTAAAAATAATTTAAGCAACTTGTTTGAATTTGGACAAAATGTTTTCTGTAAAACAAAAATTTGTAAGTATGATGTTTTAAAAACTGGACCAATTTCCATAATTAATAAGATACAATAATATAGAATGCAAGAGCAAAACGAATTTTTTGGTAGTAAGCTTACATGGGTATATGACAATAACTATTTTGTGTGAACAAGAAAGTCAAAATTTCTCGCAGTGCTTTCAAAGGGAAGCTTGGAATGTGCCGAGACTATCAATCAATCGGCTCTTGCCCCCTTCCGACCAAATTCGGTCTATTGTCCGGCGGCTGTTACCAAATCCGTAGACCGGCTCGACTTTCCATAGGAAAAGCCCGAAATCAGCCGAAGGTTATCGCTTATCCGGACTCCGATTCCAATTTCGTGGCCAGGTCCGATCTGTTTAAGCATTCAGGTGTGCGGAACGTGTGTGGAACACACCCTCATCGGACATGGGGACCCAGATCTCGATGTAGCGATACCGCACTGGAGACCCATTTAACGTGGGAATCCGAAACCTTCAAACACCAGGGCCCTTTTGCGAAAAAATGAGGAACAAAGTGTTTTGCTAGGAGCGGGCCCCAAATGTGAGTTGCATTTCAATTTCAGTGAGACGATGACGACGTCATCGACTTTTCTGCTCCATATGGCAGCAAATTTGCATTCAGCCATATGTCGCTTTTTATACCCGTCACTCGAAGAGTAAAAGGGTATACTAGATTCGTTAAAAAGTATGTAACAGGCAGAAGGAAACGTTTCCGACCATATAAAGTATACATATTCTTGATCAGGATCAATAACCGAGTCGATCTGGCCATGTCCGTCTGTCCGTCCGTCTGTCCGTATAAACGCCTTGATCTCAGGAACTACAAAAGCTAGAATGTTGAGATTAAGCATGCAGCTTCCAGAGACATAGACGCAGCGCAACTTATCCTAATCGGATTTTGAACTGGCATATCTCTAAATGTTTCTGCCGCAATTCTCTACAAATCTGCATTCAAATTTAGAAATTTATTTTTTTTAAATTTTTTTGTAATTTTTCCGATGTATAATGTTGTAGAAATTCGATAACTCAACTTATCTTAATAGTATTTTAAAGTGGCATATCTCTTAATGTTTGGACTCACCCGCTATTGGCAGCACTGTGGTTTTAGCCTCCGAATTTATCCGGATGCCCTAAATCAGCCGGATTTTCCACGCATCTTCTTCAATCCGGGGGATCATTATTACCATCATTGTGTAGTGTCCAGGAATCGTGGAAATGCTGTGCGGATCCGGGGAAATTGGATGCCCTGGGCGAAGAACCACTGCGGAAACAAGGTTTCTTCGCAGCTTAGGTAGCCCGTTTGAGAAGCGCAGAGGAGGGCTTTTCGAAAACTCGAGGTTCTGCAGCTGCTTAGGTAGTCCATTTGTGAAGTGCACTTCGAAAATTCGGTGCGTGCGATGACTGCTTAGGTATCCCGTTTGAGAAGCGCAGAGGAGGGCTCTTCGAAAACTCGGGCTATTCGGTAGCTGCTTAGGTAGCCCATTTGAGAAGCGCAGAGGAGGGCTCCTCGAAAAATAGGTGCGTTCAACGGCAGCTTAGGTAGCCCGTTTGAGAAGCGCAGAGAAGGGCTATTCGAAAACTCGGTGCGTTCGATGGCAGCTTAGGTAGCCCGCTTGAGAAGCGCAGAGGAGGGCCAAAAACTTTTGGCTCGACCACAAACCGAGAAAAACTGTTACGCCCACACTTTTGAGAAATGTTTTGATATTTTTTCACTTTTTTATATATCGTGTATATTTCTGTAGACTTGCCAAAAAACTGTTTGCCACGCCTACTTTAACGCCCACAAACCACTCAAAACTCTCACGCCCACACATTTAACAATTTTTTTATTTTTTGTATTATTTTGTTCCCCCATTTTAAACCGATATTCTAGAAAATTTTTTAATTTCTCGTTTGCACTTCCTCTAGCTGAGTAACGGGTATCGGATAGTCGGGAAACACGACTATAGCATTCTATCTTGTTTTTTCTCTGGTCGAAGGGGGAATGCATGGGGGCATGGCATTTTTAATGTCAAGCAACTGGCCGGCATGCCAAAGGTATTATGACACACATTTCAATTCAATTTTTAGATAAAGATGCGGCTGCAGTTCGTTTTTTTTCGCTCCTCAAATGTGTGTATTTTTGAAAAACAAAAAAAATGCAACAAAGACGGACGGTGGACAGCGGACGGTGGACGACATTTGTGTGGCCGGGCACTGAAGTTCCGCCATTGGCGATGATGTAAACATCAAAAACAGATACAGTCTCCCGACCCATATGTATCTTATGGGTACAGTAAATAGTAGATAAACGGGGCATTACAACCTATGAATCGGGAAATCAATTGGCTTCCATCACATTCGCTTCTGAGTGTATATTTTCTTAAGTGGTCAAAAATATCTCCCTAAAACGGAATTCTTGAATTAAAGTAAAATTAGATTTACTTATATTTAAATTTGATTTAAGTGCTGATAGATATTGAACTAATCCTAAAATGTTTAAGAATCAAAAGCAGAAGTGGCACAGTAGTCCACATATTTTATGCTCTCGCTTAGGCCATAATTCTGCTCTTGGCCAATGACAACTGTGGCAATATGCCTGGAAGATTGGACCCAGATCTTCAGATCGAATCGAACCAGCGGCCGTCCTATAACCTGGTGGCATTTGCTGCGGGCTATGCTTCGGATTGTCAGTTGGCCAGTCAGGCAGCCAGGCAGCCAGGCAGTCAGTCAGTCAGTCAGTCAGTTAGCCAGTTCGTCTAATTGGATTTGCGCGCTTGTGCGTAACTATAAATCACACACGAACACAGGCAAAAAGATGGAGCCGTGGAGCAGGGACAACCGGTTTGATTGCCAAGTCACCCGCTCATAGCCAACTGCAGAGATCCCATCGAGCTTTTTTCCTCCTCAACTCAACTATTTGTAAAGTGACCAAAACGGTAACAACAAAAACCACAATAAAGTTGAATGTTGTTGCTGTTGTTCCAGTTCTTGTTTCCCCACAAACAATATAAAGAATATAATTATGCGGCTGCATAAAAACCCAAACGTATCTGCTTACGCAACCCAGAAAATGTGGAAGAGCCGCTTGTAAAATTTACATGGCACAAGGCCTCTTTGCCGGTCGTGTGAAAATTATTAATGGAGCCACTGTCTACAATGTCTCCGGACAAGTTCATGTGTCATGTGTGGAAAGTGTTGGCACCTTCCCGGAATAACTCCATTTCTTGGGCGGGATTTGGGCTATGATTTATCTGCCCACCGCCCAAGTTGTAAGCGGATGTTGTAACAACCAGCACTTGCAAATCTAAATGGCCAAGTTCTAGCTAAAAAAGTTGTAAATGTCTATGGAAACATCGAGTCAAAGATCAACTCAACCTGATCCGATCCCAAAAAAAACATGCCATTTGCCGGTGGTCTTCCATCAAGCCCCACATGTGACTTGAACTTACGCTGAACTTGTAGCTTCCTTCAGCTACTTGAGTTTCACAAGGAAGGACGTCTGTTGGGGGTATAGAATTACATAAAACAACTACAGGAGAAAGAACTGAAACGAAAGCTAATACCGCCATATGGCTCAACCGGTTTTAAAAGTGGCGCCAATCGGTCATATGTGTGGGGGTACGGCAACTCTAGCTAACCAAAAACTTTTGTGTTTTTTTTTGCAAAAGAATAAAATTTGGATTTCAAATTTTCAATAAGCTTGTACCAAACTTTGTTTAAAAAAAAACATAAGTTTGGATGTGGCTGGAAATTTCTCGTAGGTCGTCTTAATATCTGGCAGCACGGTGCTATCGATAACAGTGAACGATATTTACTCTAAATATTCACACAAGATATTATGAGCGCCGATACTTATTGGTTGGTTAAACTATCGGCGGTAGAGTTTCAAATGTAATTTTAAAATATCAGGTCAATAAAATGTACGATATAGTTTATAAAAATATTTCATATTAATGACATATGTATATAAATAAGCGAATAAGCCGTGGTTAAAAAAATTGTATGTCATTGATACCAGTTTCTAGGAAATTTTCATATTTTGAAACATTACGCTCATCATTGCAGTACAATTCATTTATATACTGGATAAGCAAGTCGATCATTTCTAGACTTAATCGATATCTGCAATGCTTTGGCTTGGCAACTCTAGTTAACAGTTAGCTGGATTCATTAGTTCGAAGCATGGCCGCCGCGCTTTTTACGAATCATATTAGTGAATTCTTGTGAAATATTCATACAGCAAAAACTTTTTACTGCAAAATCACAAGCATTTATTCAGCATGGACGATCGCGGAGTGTTGAGCCTTGTGAAGAAGGTAGTCCACTCGCTGGTGGTGTCCTCACCAGAAAAAATGACCATCGAGAAGCTGATGCGGGATTACCGCAGCGAAGAGGGCTGTAGTTTGCCCTACAGGGAGCTGGGATTCAAAGACGCCGATTCCTTCCTCCGATCCATTCCGGATACGGTAAAGGTAAGTTAATGAATACATCCAAATAAGCATTATAATAATACAACCAATTACCAGTTGATGGGCCATGGACCAATGGCATTGATAACTCCAGTAGCCACTGCCAAATCGGCGCACATTCAGAAACTAGTCCATGACCAAAAGAAGTCCAGGAGTCGAGGCTCTCACAAACCCAAGTATTGCTACGCCTCCGAGCGATCCGATCTGGTCTTTATTAACGAAATTGTCCGTAAAATGAATAACAGAAACATGCCGCCTCGAACTTATCAGAGGCTCAGCAATCTCAATCTTCCTGTTTCGTATCCCAACTATAATCGACTGATATATCCCGTCTACGCCAATATAAACGAAATAATCTGCGCCGGACTGCAGCAGGTGCAGTATAATCATCTGCAGTACAACCATTATCTTCAGTCGTTGATTAATCCGTATGCCTTTCCGCAGAGTACCTTTAGACCCCAAAGGCCAAGCTTTTCCTATAAAGACAAATCTGAGCCGTTAAGAGTTAATAATTGGTCGCAGAACGGCCTGAAACCGGAGCCCCTAAAAGACCACATCCACCAGTCACAAGATGATTCAAAGAGTGGCTCTACTGAGAATAAGCAAGTCGAGCCTGCTCAGGAATTAGAGGAAGAAAACCAAGCATTGGCCCAAGCGTTTGAAAACCAATCTGTGGATGTTGCTCCCATTGGATACCAAGAGAAGCCAGAGTACGAGGTATATGAGGCTGATGAAGAGGAACTTGTAAGGAACCTCTTCACCTCTGATGAGGTTAAAGATCCAGAGAAGGAAGATGAAGCGATGGTGCCCGTTTCCAAGTCCACAATTCAAAAGATTGCTGTCAAGCCTCTGGAACGCCAGAAGTATGTCTTTGACTACGTGTCCTCTGACGATGGGGAAGATGAAAGTGCCATTCCATCTAATGCTGTGGTAGGGTATATGATGATTTCTATATAAAGCATTATTGATACTAGGCTTCTGTTATTGCAGGACGATCGAGTTCTAGGCGTTGACTATCCTACGGATTCGGTTCGTTCTGATTTCACACTGCCTGTTCGCGATATTGAGTCCGTTATCGAGTTACAGCAGCGTATTGAGGTGCAGTTGGTGAGTTTGGTCAATCCACACAACTTCAGTTTCTGGATATACAACGAAGAGTTTAATGACTACAAGGCACTGTATGCCAATATGCAGTAAGATATCAATATTAACATTAGGAGAAACATTACAATATATATTTTTTTCTGTAGGATGTTTTATGAAAGTCATGACACGGATAAATACACAATGCCAATGAGTTTGATAAATACGGATCATCTCTGTGTGGTGCGCTCCAGCTGCACGAGAGCCTGGGAAAGAGCCAAAGTAGTAGGCTACCAGCCCAGTAACAGGGGAATGACGATCGAGGTAGAACTGGTTGACAAAGGGGACATAATCTGCGTGAGCCACCAGCATGTCAAGTTCCTGCTAAAGCAGTTTGCGTCGCTGCCACCGCAATGTTTGGCCGGGCGATTGGCCTTTATAACGCAATGGAAGGCTCCAAACTGGCCGGCAGAAGCTGTCAACTGCTTCTACAAGATGGTATCCTTTCGCAGACTTTACGCCAAGGTAGAAGCTATTAAGGTAAGTCGATAAATCCCGACTGTTTAGGAAAACGCGATATACATTCCACCTTTGCAGAACAATATTGCCTATCTTGTGCTAGTGGATCCGGAAACACATGCACACGCTGTCAATTTAAATAGGTCGCTCATAGACTCCGGTTGGGTGCGTCGCTGCATAAGTGCATAGACTTTTATCATATTGATATTTCACTCATTACCACTTATGCGAATTTAATGTCCACTCTTAGTGTTAAGCTCAATTCAAATCTCTGTCGTTTCGACATGGATGTCGAATGGATTTTTTATGTTTTCCAGTAGGACTTTAATGAAACTCGTTAACGTATTATTTTAAGGCAAACGCTGTCCTTCTGCTTTCTTTTTATTAGTTTACGTGTAATAAAATACTAGGTTACATAAATCCTTCAACAAGTCGCTGTTCTTCGTCTGATTTATGCCCGAAAGTAAAACAAACAAGGACTCAAAGACGAACCACTTGCAAAAGAGATCTCGCTCGCAACTAAAAGTGGTATCTTGAACGGAAATTCTGAATCTGAATGGAAAATCATGATCTTGCCTGGTGGCAGGCCTGCAATAAATACTTGAAATGTAACTGAGGCGCTTTAACAATTCCCTATAAAAGACAACATTGTCTATGTTTTGTATATATATGTTGTGTATATAGTTGGTTTCTTGTCTGTTCTTAGATTTTTTTGTTGTTTTTTTGTTATTTTTTGGTGACCGCTGAAACGACGGCACCCTGAGGTTGGTTTTTAATATATTTTTCATTTTGTTTTTTTTTTTTTTTTGTTGAGGCTTCTCTACTACGTTGTGTGTCGAGTGGTGTTTTGTTTGTTAGTGAGTGAAAAACTAATAGTTCAACTACTAATGCGCATTCGTTAAATTTGCTTAAATACTTTTCATTTTGTTTTGTTTCTTGGTTGTTTTCTTGTTTTGTATATTGCTGAGTTATGTTTTCCCTTTTCTTTTTTTTTGCAATGCGTATTTAAATATGCTATATAATCGCAATAATACATAATTGTTTTGTTGTTTGTTTGTTGGTTGCTCGAGTACATAATAGCTACGCGCATAAATATGTTTTGGTATGCTGTAACGCTTCGCTTCGTTTATATCATAAGTTGATGCATGTCTGTCTGACTGTCACTGTCGCCCCCTGATGCCTGATGCCTGTTGCTTGAATCCTGTCACCTGTGACCTGTTGACTTGGCCACCTACAGGTGTGCTTGCTGCTGTGTGGTTGTGTGTTCTTGTAATAGGTCCATAGGACTAACGCCTAGGTAGCAATTCAAAAGTCTATTCACTTCGTTATCGTTACAATGTCGTGGGCATAAAACTTATATGTAGATTTACGTTATATGTCAGTATTTGGTGTGTGTGATCGGGGTGGTGGTGTGTGTCGTGTGGTGTGTAGTGTGGATTGGGGTGGCAGATCTTTCATGGCTGTGGGTTGTGGTTTTTTCTGATCTGTCTGCTGGCTGCTGAGTTCTATCTCTATCGCATAATTTATCTCTGTATGTACTCGTTTTCTTTTTTTTTTTGTTTGTTAATTTTTTTTCGATTCTTATATTAAAGTCATCACAGTTAGCGGAGCTGAAATTATGAATAATTATTGAGGACATTTTTTGTGTAATTGTTTTTATCTTTTTTTGGATTTTTTGTTTTTAATACGTTTTCTACTAAATCGCAATTGCATATATAGAGTGTCTACCATAAATTGATTCTTTTTTTAGTGTACTCTTATCGCGTCTTGGGGTTCCTTTTACTAAATTATTATATACGCAGTGTGTGTGTGAGTGTGGTTGTCCTGTGTGGGGGTATGGATGTGGGTTTTGGTGAGTGAGTGTCCAGCGAACCGCTGCTTCAGATGGTTGCCCGGTGCACGCCGGCACCGTTCGTCACAGCTCCTCAGTGTCATGGAGTGTTACCCTCGAATAGGGCCCGGAACTCCCCGCTCCGTGGCCTCGGGAGACCCTCACGTATCGTCTGCACCGGCTCAGCAATGCTCGACTCTGACCCATGCAGTAAATTCTCCTTGAGATCCATGTCACTGAAACGGATATCAAAAGTATTAACAAACATATATAGCGCAAGTTGTTGGATTGTATTCGATCATTAAAGTGATTTATTTAACGTGGATTAATTTAACCTGCTTTGTTGTGTTAGGTATTGCTAGTCCATCCGTCAACTTACTCATCTTTGCAGTCATCCGCCTCGGCAGCCAGGGCATTAACCACAGCCGTAATCGTGTTCGACTCCGGATTGCTCAGCTGCTCGTCCTTCTGATGCATTATGTTTGGATTCTTGCCGATCTTGTTTAACCGCTCGGCGGCCACAGTCTCCATGGTCTTGCGCATCAGCGGATACTGATCCAGAACGCAATTGAAATGATCCACGCTCAACGAGAATAGATTGCAATAGGTTTCGGCTCGCACGCTGGCCACACGACGCGCATTGGTCAGCAGACAGATCTCACCGAAGTAAGACCCATCCGAAAGTGAGGTGGCAACCTGTAAAAGTTGGTAATTAGACGGGGGGATCTTGGCTGAATTCAAGCGATGTGCTCACCTCGCCGTTGGCCATGACAATGTCCACCACGCCCTCCTGTATGAAGTACATCTTAGTACCGATCGTACCCTCCTTTATGATAATATCACCTAAAAATAACCACAGTTGGTTAGTTAAAAGTGGTCTTTAAGATGTTTGAGCCACCCACCTGGTTGGAAAACTTCGTATTTCAGTTTGGTAACTACGTCGGAAACGAAATTCGAATCGGCATTAGCAAAAAAAGGCACTGACGCCACGAGGGATCTGTGGAATATCGGAACCGCAAGTTATTATTGATTAACTTTGGTATGGTGCAAAATACTAATCCTAGAGGATACTAAGTGGCTGAAAGTAGATTCAATTGATAGATCACTGGATAGTGACAGATCGCCCACCTGCAGTTGTAGTTGATGACATCCTCGCGCAGTTTTTCGCTCAACTCGCCAAGTATCAACTCTTCATCGAAGAATTTACCCTGGTACCGATGCTCGAAGTATTCCGTGATGCGCTGCCGCATATCGCGTGGCAGCTTGCGATAGGCCATATACTCCTCCACCTGTTTGACCTTCTCGCGATACTGGCGCCGGCTGGAGTCCAAGCTCTGGATGAGATTGGTCGCGTGACCGAGGAACAATGCGTAACAGGTGGCCCCGGATATCATGGAAAGCATCGTCAGCCACATGTCCGTCAATGATTGTGGCGGGAATCTGCAAGAAACGAGATTATTATTGATAAACCTGTATGAGCCAGTTGACTAGAGTGCGTCCTTCCTCCTATATATATTACAAATAGTGCTAGTTTCTTTTGAATATAGCTACTTGCTTGTCCTTTACAAAGGATCGTAGATGGAAACAGCATAAGTAGATGCCAATAATCGAAGTAGATTGGGACATTAACTCACCTGCCGTAGCCTATGCAGAGCATGTGCGACATGGCCTTGAACAATGCCCACGAATACTGCTCCAGCCAGTACGATTCCTGCAATGGAACAGCCCATTTAGATAGCCGATAGCAGTGGAGGGGTTTTACCAATCTGGCGCACCTGCAACTCGTTGATGGAGACCCAGGAGTTGGATGGAAAACCCTGCAACATTGGCACTAAGAACTGCAAGCAACCGCTCCAATGGCCGATCAGGAGCATCATGCAAATTAAATTGAAGATCCTCATGAAGACCGAGGCCATATTGAGGAACTGCAACCAGAGAGGTCAATCAAAAAGAGTGCACTTTAACCAAAGCCCAACACCGCTCGTGTTTGTGTGTGTATGTGTGTGTCTCCATGTGTGTGAGTGAGTGTGTTTTTGTGTGTGGGGTGGTTTCGGTGTGTTCGAGAGTGTATGCATGTGTTACATATGTGTATGTGAGTTCCACATATTTAAAACCAAATGTCTCAAGTAAACAAGAGAAAGGAAACCCAAACGAGGAAATGAAACTTGGAACTTGGATAAATTTATTTGCAACTTGGCGGCGTCATTGGCGTTTCCAGCTACCGGTAGTAAACATGACAGTTATTGCATTATGCCAATCAAAGCAACTAAAACAAAACCAGACCACAGCCATTAAAACAACAAAATTACTCAATCTCGCCACTCTGCCCGATAAGTATGCAACGGATACTCGCATTCCTCGGTCTCCAGATCATCGGATTAGATTGGATCGGAGCAGAGCGGCTCGAAATACATGGTCGATATACATGGTATATCCGATAAGATAAAATAAGATAAGATTAGTCTAGTGTTAGGCAATACAATAGTGTCCGGTGTACTGGGTGTACTTTGTGTACAGTGTACAACCTGAGCAATCAATTCAAACTCAATCAATTCAAATTCAAACCATTTCTACGTATCGAATAGGTGCAAAATCAGCTGCTAATTTATGGTACAAGTGCTCATCTTTACTTTTGTTTTTTGTTTCATTTTTGTTTGTTTTGTTTTACGTTTGTTAAACACTAAGCCGTTCAAACGTTCAAAAATATCGAAATCGAAACTCGTATTTTACAATGAAAGCGTTTTTTGTTTTCTGACTCTCGCAGTTGTTAGTAATTGAACTACGTAATTCTGTACAAAGTACGGTAAACAAACCAACGGAATATACACGAGAAATTAACGGAAACTAAACGAACGGTAAATAAAAAACATAGAGCAAGAGCAGGAACACAGAGCTTGAGAGAAAGTTAGAGAGAGAGAGGGAGCGTTTTCGAGATAACAAAATAACGTAGTTGCATTCAAGAATTCAGTGGTTGTAGCTGCTTGTGTGGGTGTACATGTGTGTGTGGGTGTCACTCCAAGAAGCTTATTTATCATTTTTTTTTATCGCGCTCCTGCTGAAATCTTTTGTACAAAACAAGAGAAGAGGAGGCAGATTAAATTAAAAATCAGGGAAACCAAAACCAAACCAGTAACAGTAACCAAACAACAAGTAACGGTAGCAGAGGCAGCAAAACAGAGTTGTATTTCTACACAGAGAAAAATTACCATTACATTTGCGGAGGATCATAACAAAAACGATCCTTTTAATGAGATTTAGGTCACTTTGAACATATCAGTTTATTCAAAATTGGGATTGCTTAAATTCTTACTGCTAAGATCCATTTATGCTGATATATTCAAAGCTATTTTTATAGAAAATATATAATATAAATTGTAATTTTTTGTATAGAATCAATTAGATTTTCTCTGTGTAGTTGGGAGAGAACAAGAGAGAGTTCGAGCGGAAAGCGCGCAGCACAAAAGCAGAAAGCATTGAACAGTGTCAAGTGAGGTTAAGTTGAGTACGAAAGATACGATTTAGGTTAGGATATGTGGAAAGCGTTTGGCACGGGCCCACAAATGTATGCTATATAATACGAGTAATATGTGGCTAGATATAGTACAGTGTTCGTGTTCGATCTGATTGGTCGTTGAATCAGTTTTCCTGCTTCAGATCGATTGACTATATTGAATATGTGTCTTGTGTCCGTTTCTAAGACCTAAACCTCTAGCGAAAGCAGCAGCAGCCATTACTCTAGCTACTATATTATAAAGTGCGGATTTGTTTGTGTCTTTACAGTGGTAAACTTTTGATCTGTGCTGCCTGGGCCCTTTTAAGCAATAAGCATTCAACACACTATACATTTCGAATCCGTAATATATCCTGAGATCTGTAGTGTTTTCATGCTCTTCGCAGCGATAAATAACCCAGCTAATCTGCGGTTCACAATGATAGATATAGCAGTACAATAGGATTACCGATCATGCCCATGCATGGAGTCCAAAACTACGGAATCTAGCGAGATATATTACATTATCCTTCTGACTGATTCTACGTCGCGTGAAGAGCATGAAAAGAGCTTCGATTTGGCACCGAAGATTTATATCTGAAAAGCTTGGTTTTTCGTATGCTGCTTTTGGGCTAAACTCTCTTCTTCATTATTGATTTAACGAGATTTTCATTATGCATCAAATGAGAAATAGAGATTATGTATGGCAATATCAATCAATCATCAATATGTAAAAAAGGCAGTCTCAGAAAATTTACAGAACGTACGAACGAACGAACATTAAAATCAAGCAAACATGATCAACGAACAATCGAACGAACGAACAATCGAACGAAATTATGCACTAAAACTCAATTTTGGCTTTAACATTCCTCAAAAATGTGAGTTATGTTGCGCCAATAATACATAATCATAATTTCAATCAATCAATCAAGGCTTTTGGTTTTTTTGTTTATCAATATATACTGAAGTTGTTGTGTTGTTGATTTTTGATTTTGGGTTGTTACTTTTTATTGGATGGTTTACCTTGAGAATTAGGTTGCTTTTTGTCAAGCCATCTTTGTCTTTTCTGTTCATTCTCCCTCTGCGATCAGCACTTTTTTTCTGTAGATTCTGCAGAATCTAAAAACCATATATACACAGGTATTTTAGGCCCTGATTCAGCTAAGTTGAATTTTTTTATTGTTTTGTTTTGTTTATTTTATTTTTGTTTTGTTTGTTGTTCTTAAACTGATTGTCAAAAGCATCATTAGTTGTTAGTCGCATTTAGCAGAATACTTTTCTTTTCATCGCTTAAGTTGAGCGCATCAAAAACAAAATAAACATAAATCATAATATACGGTGGTTTCCAATTTTAGGCTATCTCTTGCATAGGATTACGGGATCTGTACTTGTACGTATCTCAGGGGGTGTGGTGTGGGAATCACGGGAAGAGTGGGTGGGAGTTTCGGTTTTGGACGCAGATATATTGGATATAGGGTATTGAATTGCGAAAATGCCTTCCAAGAAGATCAAAGAGTTGTACAAAGTGCAATGAAGAATATCGATTTGAGTGCTTCAAAGTCGGCAAGAAATGAATAGGAAATCGTAAATTGTAAATCGTAAATCGAATACAGAATATCAGTACAACAGAAGCGATAAATCGTAGACTCAACTGAAGAAATGTGAAAGAAAGCAAAGGAATCTTCCCGCGGCACAAGGAACAAGTTCTCAAGCTTAGCGAGCGCGTCAGATGGTTTGAGAAAAACCCAAAAAAAAGGAGAGATATATATTTTTTCGATTCGATCTGAGTGTGTTACGAATATGTGGGTGTGTGGTGGGTGTGAAAGATAGGTATGTTCTTGCAGTTATCGGCCTGGGGGGTTTACTCTGGATCTGGTCTGGTGGACCCGAAGCGCAGCAGGCGCACAACACGAAACAAACATCGGGGTCACACAACTGTATAATGTACAAACTGAGTTGGCTTATGGTACAGCGATTGTCTGGTTCTACGTTTGATTGGCTTTATAGACACACATAGGTTGGAGGGAGGTATATCATATTTGGTAAACAAAACGATTGGTAATCGAACGCAAAGGATTTAAACGTTTAACGGAAATCATAGACACAGAGGTTCCAGATAACAACTCAAAGAAAATACATAGTTTGAACATTTCTGCGCGCCATCCACAATTTAGTAGTACATTTTTTTGTAATGCCACACACATGTACGCACACATGTAACAAAGAAAAGTGAGCACTTCTGGGATTATATTACTCCCCTGACCTCTGACCTCTGACCACTGACCACTGTGCTAAGCCTAACTGCAGTTGCCTACACATAACCTAGATCCTCGAATCTGTTTTTGTGGTGTGGAGTGAACGAGTAGAATGCTGATCTTACGGTCGAGAATTTGGAGCAAACTGAACGGAAATCGTAACTAAAAATGGGGTCGCCCAGGGACCAACGATCCCTGGAGTAAAACCGATAAGGTAATGACGAAACAGAGGACGTTGACAAATATATACACAGAAAAAAAAGATGTGAAACGATATTTTATCGCGAATTCCATGAGCCTTAGGCAATAGTTCATAGTAAAATATGGTATATGAACTATTGTCTTAAGCCCTAAACAAATTCAAGTGAATAGTATGATATAAAGATAAGCTTTTGTTAATCTGATTAGTTGAAATTATAAGAACGACATTAAAAGCGTCAACGTAATATTTGCAAGTAGAAGAATACCATAGTTTCTCGAATATCACTATATTTTCTGTGTATATATTGTACAAATGTGTGGTAAAAATTGGAAACTGAAAACCAGGGGCAGTAAGTAGTAAGTAAGTACTTCGTTATGCAAACTCAAGATGAAACGGTAACGAACGCAACGAAACTAAAGGACTGAGCGTTGCCAAAATGAGCCGGGTGTACTCACATAGACCTCCTCCCATTGGGACACGTAGCGCACGAGGCGGGAAAGGCGGAGTAGTCGCACCAGGGATAACAGCTTGGCCAGGCGCAGGATGCGCAGGGCGCGTCCGGCATGCAATATTTGAAAAGAATCAGAGAAATCCTGCAATTTCATAATCTTAAATTAAAATGTTGCGTACTGTTTCTTAAATACATTGACTTACTTGATTGAAAATTAAAAATATATAATCTAGCGGTATCGACGAAATCAAATCGAGAAAAAACCAAGTTCTTAAATAGTGTTTAGCTATAAGCTTTGGATCCAATATTACTTGTTCAGCGTTGTCTTGTTGCATAATTCCTGAAATCATATATTCGGGCAAAAGTATCTCAATTAAGCAGGGGCGCAGAAATCGGGGACATGGTGGTGCCACTTATCATTGGCAGGGTTACGGATCGGATTTTGGGGGGTTAATTGTTAGTTAGTTGGCTTGGTTGAGTGTGCATTACCTGTTCTAAAATTGACTACAATATCTATTAAAAAAATAGTATCACTTAGGCAGTTGAAGGCAATCCATCGTGTGCTCAGATCATCGTTGAAGAATGATATTGCGACTGGCAGGATAATAAGATTTGCTACTAATAATAAAAGCATGCAAAGGTCCCAGTAAAACCTGTCGAAATGGATTAGTAGATTGTCAGATCTCTGATTTCGCTGAGATATATCTATATTTGTTGTGGGTGCTCACCTGAATGAACTGCACGGGTGTATGACCCAGTGCCCGGAAGTTTTCTGACGTATGCGCTCCTTGACCAGCGCCTTTCGGCTGCCAAACAGTTTCATGGCCAGTCGGTTGTCCGTCGGCTGGAACCATGATTGCAATTGACTTTTTAGGAAATTCGCAGAGACTTTTTCCGACACGATCGGTATGTTGGGCATGGGCTCCTCTTTCGGAGTGCCGTACAACGACACGTCATCAAAGTGTACCTGCATCGAAGGATCAGAGTGGAAACTCATTAGTCGTGTGGTGCACCAGACCAATTGCCTGGCTGGCAGTCGGCAGTCAAGGTCATAAATGAGTGTTTGGTGGTTGGGGTTGGGGGTTGGAGTGTGTGTCCTGGTCAAGTTGTATAAATAAAACCTTTGTCCTTGCCATTTCGGTTCCTTGGTCGCATATTAGCAGGGCTTCATCATCGAAAGCGGTTACCAGCGAGTCGGTGCAGGTGTTCTCGAACGAAATGCGCAGGTCGTTGTCGTTCACATTCAGCACCGAGCAGTAGGAGCAGCGCACCGATTCCTCACTATCCCCGCTCAGCAGTCTGAAATGGCATTGCGAGATGGGGATCAGTTAACACGGAAGTGCTGCCTCCAAAAATTCCGTTACACGACTCTGTGCCACAAGGCGGACCTGCCCAAAATGAAAGTGAAACTACACCGAATGACTGTCAAGGTGGGCGGGATGGCGCGATGTCGGTAAACGCACCGGTTTTTTGTTTATTGCAAATACTCTTATGCAGGGTATTACAGTTCACGGAGCCTTGTAAATAGCCATTGGTTCGGGCTACTTCCAAATAAGGTGGCACAGAGTAGGCAACTATGTTTACAATCGTGTTAAATTTATGGTAAAAAGAGCGCAGTTTTGGTAAATCATATATGCAACGCAATTGCTTGCGATGATTATGCGTTATGTAGTTATTAAGATTCATGTTTTCACAATTGCAATGAGCTGCTTCTGTATTTATCTTGGGTTGATAAGATTGGAATAACTTTATAGTTCCATTCACGATCTAAGTTAATTTAATTTTTTAATTTGAGTTTATTTAGCTTAACAGAGATCTATTGGAGTTTGAAAATTTAATTGTAATGTAAAGTACTATGTATGGAAAGGGTGTTGCAACATTCGAAGCTGGAAACTAGCTAGTTTTCTTGACATTTTTGTTTACTTTTAATTGCAACACACGCACAATGCAGGCTGAATCAGAGATACGGCTGCTGCCCTCACCTTGCCCACGACTAGATGGTGATTGTCAAGGTTTTCCGGGGCGGCAGCCAGAGAAACTGGAATCCCAAACCTCGCGGTTCCCCCTGTCGGCGATGCCCGGTATTTTTCTTGATATTTTCGTATTCGTACTTTTTTATTGTCGCTGCTCGCGTTTTTTGGAGCAGCAAACACCGAAGGCACTAACTACAAAATGCTGAACGACAAATCGCGTGGCACGGATATGGATATTATTCACGTTCACGGCGGACCTATTGTTAAAGCCCGGAGAGATGGAGACGCGTGCTCGCGGTTACGTTGGTTTCCAATTCAGTTTCAGTTTGGGCTTGGGCTTGGGTATGGGTTTTCGCGTCACGGTTAGACGTACTGATATTTTCGTACATTGATAATACTTTTTCGTAATTGTGTCTGTGCTTCTATTATTATTATAAGCAGCGCTCTCTTTCGCCGCTTCACACTCAATTGAATGTACTTTTAAATGGGAAAGTTTCGTTTTAATTAAGCCTGATGAGGCTGATTTAATTTAATCTTGGCCGCCGCCATTGGCATTAGCCTAATGATTTTATTAGTGATTGCTATTGTTAACCGCCGGCTATTGCATTACACAAAACAAATCAAATCAAATCCAATCCAATCACTTTGATGGCTACATTTCATAATTGTGGTTTCGAATTCATCTCACTTCACTGGCACTGGCACTCGCAACTTTTGTTCACTTTTGTTTGGCGTTTTGCATTCGAAACTATCCGTTTGTTGCCCGCCCGTTGGCTTGGCAACTTCCACGGAAACGTGCTGTGGCAGATGTTTTCCGTCGATTTGATGCAGATGCAGATGCGGATGCGGATGCCTCGACCGACTCACACAGTACGGCTGCCGAGAGTCGGGGAATCGGAGAAGTCTGGAAGCGTGCTATAGAGCTATGTACGTATATAGAGCAGAACCCGGCACTTGGAGTGATTACAGCGGCAAACTTTTTGCGACTAGCGGTCGTTGAGTCTCCGCTCGCAAACCGCCTGGAAATCGCCGGCAAACACTCCGAAAACGAGACCAGATCGTGGCTACTTCGGCATGGAATGGAATGGTTCGTATTGTATCGTATCGTATTGGATCGTATCGGATCGGCCGTCCTCGAGAAGCGAAAGAGGGGGTGGCTGGGTTGTTTAGGTCGTATAGTTCTTTATTTTTACTTTCTGTGTGGCTGACTGGCTGGCTGGCTGGTCGAGCGATATTCTTACCTCGAATATCAATTGGTACAGGAATTGCAGTTCGCTTCCGAAATTGGCTGGCAATTGCCTAATTAAATAATTGAGATGTTGACACCGTGCACTTGGCGCTGGTTTTTATCTCACTGTTTTCTATCTTTTCTTGTCTTTTTCCCTTGCTTTTATGGCAACTAGTTAGGTTTGCTATTTGCCAGACTTTTGTTAAGTTGCTGCGGTGCTGCGGTGCTTTTGCTGCTGATGCTGCGGCGACTTGATAACCTGTTCTGAACCCCGCGGCCGTTGCACAATAAATAAATAACGAATTTGTGCTGCCTTTTAATTGATTGCGCGACGATCGACGACGCAAATTATGGCTGCTTGTAATTCCCTGCCCGGCTGTCTTCACAAAAATTGATGCCAATAAAACCACACCACATACAGTACAATACAGCAAAACTATCCGAAAAGAGTAAACAGCACAGGGAACATAAACAGTGATCCGCAAATATGTCTGGATTTTATGCAAATGTATGCGAGGGTAACGCGTTCCATTCACGTGGAGATCGCCTCGCCTCGCCTCGCCTCGGATCGGATTAGATTGGATATCACTGGATCACGGGATCACAGGAAGGAGGAAGCCATTTTAGTGGGTCTGGGTCTGGGTCTGGGTCTCGCTCTCGGTCGCAATTTGCGGCATTGAGTGGCCACGACAAATTGTGGAATTATGTTATTCACACGACCGATTGAAACAGTGTTTACTTCAGGGCACTCGCAATCAGGCTGATAATGGAGCTCGATTCAATTACTATACGAAATCACGCACAATGACGACCGATTGTGTGATTAATCCGGCGGACTCCTGGTTAATAAAAAATGTTCAAGGCAAGCGGTAAATCTGCAAATGTTTACCCAACATCTTAATGTTTATAAACTTGTTTTAGTTTATTGTGTGCGTTTCTGTGTTTTGTTCAACAATTTGTTTGAAAGAACACGTTCATACACATGTTATATCCATTTTTGAACGTATTTAGAAACGCTAAAATAGTTCATTAATTCCTCAAAACAATCTGCCTTAACTTTTGCACTAGAAACAAGCCGTCACACACCGTTTGTAGACTCTAGAACCCTTGGGATTTCGGAACTTTCAACTTGACGCTCCAACTTTCGATCCGCTCAAATGGGGAGTTCACTGCTCGACGACCATTAGAAGTTTATTGCGCCAACCGAGGCAGTTCGAAAGGCAGTTCGGAGTGAGATTCCCTCGGTCTGCGACGACGGAATTATGCAAATGCCCCGCGATAAGCGGAGCGGACCAAAGCACTCAAAAAAACCGGTAGTAGGCGATCAGGCGCTTTGCATGCGCGTAATTCCCGCTTGTAAACCGAGGTAATGTCTGGAATGGGTCGCTCTCTTTTCGGGGAATCCGTTAAACTGCGACAAGAGTCGTCGTGGACTCTGGAATCCCCTTCTTTTCTAGAATTTCTGTTTTGAAATGGGTTCTTCCTGTTTTTATACCTATTCAAGGCAACTGCGTTCCACGAAGGGTATATTTTCCAAGCAATTGATGTTATGCATCACAGTGTTATCTCACTTATTTCCCGATTAGTACTACTATATATTATATACAAAAATATTTCAATAATCAAATGGCCCTGGTCTTTGGCAATATTAAATAATTCTGTCAAATGTGCATCGGTATTGTAATGACAAAACGAGAGATAAGTTTGTAATGCTATCTAAAATATATGGAAAGAAACTACAGTAGGTAGCAATACAGCGTTCCTATGAACCCGCTGATTATATTACTGTAAATTAATATATAATAAAATATATAATAAAAAATATATAATATATTATTTAATATATAAATATAAATAGAAATGCAGAAGTATGTACAGTACTCACCGATCGCCGAGCTTGCCCTTGTGCCGGCGGATGTGGCGCCGGTTGAAGCTGTTGGTGCACGACGTGGACGTGGGCCTTGCCGGATAAGGACACGGGTGGTGGCTCCCGAAGCTGTGCAGCTGCAGCGACGCCTTGAGGTTGGCGGGCGCTGTGGCCGAGGAGGCGTGGTGCGCGTAGTGATACGGATAGGAGTACGGATGCGGATACGATACGCCGGCACTGGCTACGGTGATGGTGGACTCCCCGACCGGTTCGTGGCCCTCGTTGGCCTCCGAGGAGCCCTCCTGCTGCGATCCGTTGCTGGAGGAGTGGTGCGTGTAGTCCGTGGGGGCGCTCAGCTGGCGATTGAACTCGGCCTTGCGGCGCGTGAGGTCCGTGAGGCAGTACTTGTTCAGGTGACCGTTGCTGCTGACCGAGCTCTTGGGCGAGGCCGCCGCGTAGTGACTGTGTCCGGCTCCTGATACCGGTCCAGATCCCGATCCTGCTCCCGATCCTTGGGCGTGGGCGTGCAGCTTGTGGCATGAGTTGCTGCTGGCGCTGAGCAAATTGCAGTTCTTGCTGCCGCTTGCCGAGCTGCTGATCTTGGCCGCCAGCGAGTGCGGCACCGGCGGACTCTTGCCCGTCGCCGGAATGGTGTGGCTGCTACCGCTTCCACTCTCGCTCCTCACCGACGCCCGATGGCCGGGCAGCGTCTGCCGGCTCTGCCCCTGCCCCTGACCCTGACCCTGACCCTGACTCTGCCCCTTGCCCTTCAGCGATCCGTTCAGCAACAACTGTTGTTGGCGGGCAGCAACCGCCGACAAGGCGGGCAACTGCGGCGCCTTAGTGCAGGTGGAGGACGAACTGGCTGGTGCCGAGGAAGCCTGCGGATGCGGGGTGGTGCTGGAACTGGACGTGGAGGCCACCTGCGGCTGCAGGGAGTGCTTCTTCTCCACGAGATACAAGTTCAGGTACTTGTCGCCCGGATGCAGCGAGTTATCCGACACCGCGTTCGACTTGGAGATGATCTGGCCCTTCTTCTTGGCGGTCCGTGTCTTGAGTGAGAGATTCCGCAGCTTCTTGGACTGCTCCTTGATCTTGTTGGTGCGCAGGAACGAAGGACTGTTGGCGATGCACTTGAAGATGTACGTCTCGTTGACCAGCTGCTGCTTGTCACTTCCACTGTAGTCGTACTCACTGCTTAGATTGAGATTGAGGTTGGCTAGGTGGCGACGCTCCCGTTCCCTGTCTCTGTCTCTGTCTCTATCCCTGTCCCGATCCCGATCCCTTTCCGGATCCGGTTCTGGGTCTGGCTCCGGCTGCGCCAACTGCTGGTCACTGTAGTGGCTCTTGAGCAGCGAACCGGCTCCTTCGGCAGCCGCTGCACTCAAGCTGCGCGTGTACTCGTGACAGGCATCGTAGAGCGCCGACTGGCCACCAGTGCTGCTAACGCTCTGAGTGCCACAGCTCACCGGACTGTGGCTGCTGTCGAGGATGCGCAGGCCGCTCCTGCTGTCCGAGGAGTTCTGCTTGGAGATGCCGCTCGTCGATAGTCGACTGCTGCTGCTGCGGTGCCGTTGCTGTTGCTGTTGCAGATGCTGCTGCTGCGGCTGCTGCTGCTGTTGCTGCTGCTGGAGGTGCTGCTGCTGATCATCGCCCGCTCGCAGCAGCGAGACGCTGTCCGGCGCCGCCGATGCCGCCGGCTGGCCGTTGCTGAGACTCACCAGAGACTGGCGCACCAAGTGCTGGTGCGAGTGCGAGTGCCGCTGCTGCTGCTGCTGCTGCGGATTGTCCGGGCACAAGTTGTCGCGGCTGGCACTGCTGGCGGAATCATCACGGGCGGCCCAAGGAGCCGCGTGAGGAGTGGGGCGGAAAGAAAGAGGAGACTTCAATAAGTACCGTGTTCGATGGCAGAATAAAAATGGCCAGCGGCACTGGCAAACACTCAAATTTATCTATTTCAAATTGGCAGGCAAGCATTGGGGGGAGACGAAACGCAGGTTCCGTGGGACAGAGGGCCACGCTAAAGTGAGCAGGAAACAGAGTGAGCGAGTGTGGAAAACCGCGAGACAAACAAAGAAAATTCTTAATTATTATAAATATTGATTGTGCAACATGTGAGCGGTGAGGGGCGGTGGGGGGTTGGTGGAGGTGGAGGTGGGGGAGTATCGCATTCCCGGCATGTATGTGAGTTCACCGCACAGAGGACACTGGATATATAAACCTCCGAAAATCTGGGCAATTAATCCGCTTGCCCGGCGGTAAAGATAGGATATAGTATGATGTTACTCACTAATTGTAGTTGAGTTCAGCGGTCTCGTGATCTCAAGATCTCAAGTGTGACTCAATCTGATCATTAGTCTTAAATGGACTCAAACAACTTAACTAACGACTACAAAAATGTATTAGATGAAATGAAAGATGAAAATCATTGCCTAGATAGCATCTTGATGCACTTCTTATTTTACAAAATATTCGGAACAGGCTCGTTTTTTACATTCCTTTCAATATGTGTACTTTAGTTATTTCTTCAGAACGCTTTCCCTTATATCGAGTGCCCAATGTAACCGCGATGTGTGATACAATTTATAGAGACATCTATATACAATGGTTGACATGCTCATCTGGTTTCTGATCGCGCGAAAAATTCAACTAAATTAATGTACGGCCGCACGCAGGCCTAGCACTGATAGAGCCGCAGATACACAAGCGGTAACAAACAACTACACACAGATACAGATACAGATAGGGATACAGATACATTTACAGATGCAGATACAGATACACACCGATTCGATGGAGATATATGGCTGGAAACGCGTGCCCGAATGGCGCTGAAACCATTCCGCACGGTGGGCGGCGGAAGTGCCCTAAATCAAATGGCCAAATGGCCGAGATAAGATAAGGCTGCGCCAGACGGACATGGCTGATAAGGGAGCGTGGGAGCGTAGGAGCGCAGCGGTTACAGTGGTGCTCCAAGGGAAGCTGTATCGAGTGTGTGCCAGTGATATGGAAATGAGGGCTGGAGGGCTGCCCAGGCCCACTGTGCCCTGGGTAATCAATGCTACGAAACGTGAGGCAAACTATTGTTGTTATAGCTAAACACCGGCGCAGTCAGGGGGTGACGGGGTGTGTGAGGCCCTGCCCCCCTTTTTTCAAACAAAGGCTGCCCTATTCTCGGTGTGCGTGCATCGAACTTTTCCGATTCCGATTTCGGATGCCAGCTCGAGAGTTGAGCGCGAAAAATGGGGCGGGAAATTGGTGCAGAGCAAATAGCATTTCCCAGCCCGGAATCGAGTCGAATCAATTTCGGTCAATTAGGCAGAGGCTGGCTGCCTCACGCCAGAGGCGCAATTATCCGAATTCTGATTCGAATTTCAATGCGGATCGGAGAATGGGATTTGTGCAAATACCAGTAAATATGTCAAATATTTGCACGCTAATGCTTAGCAGATGAGTGTGCACTTTGCAGATACCGAACGAGATACCCAGATACAGTCGCACATCCGCTGCCGAGCGGCGGCCTCTTGGCAATCTCGGACCTAATCTGGCCGAAAGTCACTTTCGGGAAGGCAGGCAATGGCGCTGGCAAAGCCAAATCAAAGCGAAAGCATCGAGTGCCCCGGGGAATTCCAGCTCTTCGGGCTCGTATCTGATGGCTTTTTCATCTCGGTTTCGAGTATTTGCCACCTGTCAAGTGCTGCAGTCAAATGTTGCCCTTGCCCCATTTCACTGGCTTAGTTGGGCCCATTTTGTGGGCTACTTGAGAGAGTAATCTCACTTATTACTCAAATTATATATTATAAAAAAAGATATATATATCAAATGACATCCAATACTTTAAAGCTGCTTACCCTATATATCTGACTATCTTACACATATCTTTTAAGCCCAGCTACATTCAATACATTTCTTGTTGCCATGTCGCAGTGTGAGACATCTTTACAGATGTAGAAGTCGATTTCTCTCAGTGTAACCTTCTGGCGTGGCCTACGTCCAATGTCAACTTTGGCGCATTGGAGTGGCCCTCCGGCCAGCGGATTAGTCTTTGAGTTCGGAGCATGTGCTGCCCATCCTCGAGAGCTTGGGATTGGGGGCCAAACGAGTCTGATGGAGCAGGTTTCTGGCATCGAAATAGCCACCACTGCCCCCCGCCCGCGGCTGAGACACAATATGCCTCAATTAATAATTCAAAAGCCAATTGAAGGCATTAAGCGTAAATTCGTAAGGCGTACGTAATTGAGTCGCTGCCTGCCTGCATTCCACTTCGTTCATCGATATTAAATCAAATGCAGCTGTGAGCCCCCAAATGGGGGATCCACAGCTATATTTGCAACTGATCTACATGGAGACTGTGTTCTAATTTCCCTGATCCGATCAAATATGGAATTCTTTCATGGTCTTGACCTTTGGAACATTTAGCGTGACCGCTTTAGCTATTCTAATTCTGATTCTGGGCGAATGTTTCCGAAAACCTTCAATATGCATTTTATTGCTCATGAACTGAAAGCGCCCGCCAGCAAAATCAAACAAAATTGAAAGCAAATTGCCAAACATGCCACTCAATACACATTTCCGTGTAAACAAATTACGAAAATTTCCATTTTTAGTGCACAAATGTTTACCATTGTGCCAATTTACAAAGTCCGTGCAGTCAGGCGGATTTTATTTGATCAAATATATATTTACGATTCTTCTTTGTAGGGGGAAAGTGAATCAGTATCAGAATCGGAAATTAAATTGCGATTTCTTTTACACAGTTTTAAGATCTTTATAAGAACATTGGGCAAGAACGTTTAGAAAAGCCGACTATAATATATTTTACTCTATTTTATGTTAAGTAATGCAAGGAAAGGGAATTTTGTGTTTCCAAAGACTGTATTTCTATAAACATATAATCAGACCGGATCCGAAACAGCCACCTGTATCTGGAAAACTCCAGTGATGACCTGATTAAGGTCATTGCTATAACAAACAAAGTTCATGAATGGTTCATCCAATGTCGTTTATATGGAAATGCCATTTTAAATACACTCCTCGGTCGGTAATTAAATTTTGACTTCAAAAGATTTCCGGCTGGGCAGGCAAATGAACGTAGAACTCGATGAGAGCTTAGCTCAACTATAAATAACACGATTTTCGGCTAAACCAGAATTCAGCCAAATTATCCATTAATTATAACGACAGCCGAGCAATTAATAAATCAGGCTTGCGGGCAGCGGGTTGTGTAAATCAGTGGAGTGTACAAACAAAGAAATGCTACATCACAACCATTTGGCATGCCAATTGTAAATATATTTGGATTCGACTTGTGTGAGATACATGGCAAACGGGATTATCATCTAAGGGTTCTGAGCAGTGTGGGGCTACAAAAGGTCTTAAGCAGGCAGGTCAAGGTGGGGGAAAAGTCATTAAAGCGATGCATTCGAAACTCTTATCGATGGACTTTTGAGGGACGACAGGTAAGTTGGCAAAGTGCATCAAAGTTAATGAGTTTACTTTATGCTTGCAGCCAGAAATGGTAAAGCTCAAAAGTTGAAACTTGCGGGGGTGGTGGGTTTTTAGTTTTCGGGCTAATGGCTAGTTTTCTAGTAACGAGCAGAAAAGTTAGAAGCATTAAATGTGTGCGTGTGTGTGTGTGAGTGTTATATCTGTGTTGCAGTTGGAATTGTAACGGTAAGTAGTTAGTATTAGTAGTAGTAGAGTAGTAGGGAAGTACCATACAGAGTCTACGATCTATATATGTAGAGAGAGAGGCAGAGACACGGAGATACAAAAGAGAGATAGAGAGAAAGTGTGGGGAGAATTCGGAAGTTGGTCGGCGGTACCTTCACAGCTGATGTCTAGGATCGCTCCAAATGCAAATGTAAGTTGCAAATTGTTCGATTACGGTTTCGGTTTGTGATTTTGATCTGGTTTTTGGTTTGGTTCGGTTTGCTTGGTTCTTAGTTTCTGTATTCAACGTATTTGCACTTTCAAGCAAAGTTTTCTGCAAAACAACAACGACAAGGACACGAAATAAATCCAAGTTATTCACGTGACGAGTACCAAAATGGAAATAATAAACTATAAACGATAAACGAGAAATGAAGGAAACGAAACTGAAAACTAACAAACTGAGCGGGAAATAACTGAAATGAGATTCGTTTGGGGGATAAGAAATTAAATTAACTGCACAAAGCACACAGACACTAGAGGGTCCTGCCCATGTATGTGTTTGTATGTGTGTCTGTATGTGTATGTGTGGGGGCTAGTGCCTATTTGTTTGAAAGGGTATTTGGTGTTTTTGTTGCTGTCGAGTGTATGGAAATGTGGAACTAGAACTAGCTCAATTGGAAACATCGGGCTTCCTTTTTGGCACAAAAGAAAAGAGCAGCTTATCTGGCCCTCTGCTTCACTCACTCACTGTCGTCGTCTCTGTCTTTTATCGTGTGTGTGTGTGTGTATCAGTGTATATATCGGTGAATAAGCTATGTATGTGTGGGAGGCAACAACAATGCAGTAGTCGGCAAGTGCTTATCGATACATACAAACACCCACACACACACAAACAAATGCCAGCCGAAATTCGGTCAGTGGTTTAATCATTGAAGTAAAAGAGAAAGCTTCCGCTCATTCAGACACATACACAACCGCACAGACAGGCCCACACCCACACGATTGCCATTACACGTACAGTGGCCCCTGAAAGTATGCAACACTGCGTGCGTTTGCACTCAAAGTACTTTGACACTATTCTCAAGCAATGCAATTCATTGTATTGTGTTGGTACTCGTATTGGTATTGGTATTTGTATTGGTATCGGTGCGGCCATTGTTGTCGGCCTGGCTTGACTTTTAATCTAGTTTCGTAATTGCATTGACTGGAGTGACGGATGACCCCTTAAAGTGGGCGGCGGGTGGATGGTCGTTGTGAGCAGGAAATCAGTTCACAGGAGGCCAGCAAAAAGGCACTTGGCAACTCGCTCATACACACAGGCACACACACACACATATGAATGTGAACAGTAACAACAACAACAGCAATTGCGGCAGCAGCAACAACATCAACAACAATAACAGGGTAACTCAAGAAACAAAGAACGAAACAGAGACACTGAACATAACGGTACGAAACGAAACAAAACGAACAACACAAGGAACAAGATTGCTAGGGTGGACCACAGACCTTACAATGTTTGATATTACTTATTAAGGGTATTCCATTACTTCTATGTGATTCCAAAATAAATCACTCATACGTCATGGTGTCAAAAAATTGCTCATACGAAGTGTTGACCCTTTTCATAAAAAATACCGCACGTTTTCTAAAACATTTTCCTAGACAATTGACTTTTATTACTTTTATTATTTGGTGTGCAGCCTTGAGTTTACTTAAAATTTATTTGTATTTAAATATTTATGAAAATGAATGAAAAACAAAGGAAATGTTTGTATCTTTAAATAGCGAAAATACAATGCAAATTTTGGAATAAGAAATAACTTCTATCATAATTAAATTGGTCCACCCCAGAGATCACATTGAAACTGATACATAAGTACATTCATCTCAAAACTGTACTGAGTGGGAGATCCCGGCCAGAGGAGTCCGAAATACGGAATAAGGGACATCCTGTACGGACCTGACCTCCCACGCCAGTACAACGTACATCGTGCACAACAACAGTACAAGGACATACAAGGATGGCTAGTGAGTGGGTAACGCATACCGTTGATCGTTGGTAAAGGTTCCGAAGGCTCCAGGACCGCTGACTCGGCGCTGAGTGTGTTTAACGTGCATTTTCTTGGACCCACGACGCCGCCGCTGTCACGTCACCACCTGCACTCGAACTCGAATTCGAACCACATCGAACCACTCGCGCCACCTTCGCTAACGTAACGTGGTTGTTGTTATCGCGTATATTTTTGGTGCTCTTTTTGTTTCTTTTTTTTTGGTTTTTTTTTCAAGGTGTTGCTATTGCTATTGCCGCCGGAAAGGCCCCGCAATGCCCACTGCAATTCTTGGCCTTGTCATCGTGGCTCAGTGTGTGTGTCTGTATGTTGTAGTGGTAGTTGGGTGTGCAGGTGTGGGTGCAACTTCCGCTTCGATTTTTGGCATTAACTAATAGAAGTCCAGCACACGCTCACGTAAACAAAAATAAATTGCTTTTCGTTGTGTTACTCTCGCTCTTCCTCGCTCTCTTTCTTCTTTTTTCGGGCTATCTCACTCGCACATGGGGCTGTTCGTCGTTATCCGTGTTTTAAGGTTTTAAGTTTTAGGTTAGGTTAGGTTTTTCGATTCGTTTTTGGTGGGTTCTTAGGTGTTTGGTTGAGTAACGTAGGTTGGGTGAGAAGGTATCGGTATCTAAAAGGTGGCCTCTAAAATAGTCAACAGCACTGCTTATATTGCTTATGGTTCTTCACTTTTCGTTTCGTTATGCGCTCGTTTTTTCGTTTCTTTGAGGTTATGTGACTATGACATTATCTGTTTTGAGTTGCGTGTATAATAATACCATATGTTACTATTTATAGTTGTAGCTTTGTTTTAGTTTTAGCTTTAGTTTCGTTAACAGCGTTATTTCGGGGCTAATCGTACTTTGTACTCTGGATTATAAATGACGTTTATCCTCTAGGGTATAGTTATTGTTGCTATTCGGTTGGTGGTTGCTGGTGTACAGATGTGATGGTGGGGCCTGGAAGTGGAACTGGAACTGTAACGGTAACGATAACGGTAACTGGAGCTGGAGCTGGAGCTGAAGTGGGGGTGGGCAGGATCGGGATCCGAGATGTGGATCACTGAATAATTTATCACAAATAACAAACTAGCTGTTGAAGGGGATGGGACAGTGATGATGACAGCTCAGTTTCCTTGCTCCGCAATGTTTGCTATCCCGCCGCCTTCCAACCTGGCCTCTGGCCACGCCTCTCCTCCTCCTCCTCCTCCTCCCTGCTTAAGTTAATGTTTGGTCATGAAAGTTTCACGAACGCACCGCAGTTTGGCTTTGCGGTCGGTCGCCCTTTATTTTCTGCGTTTTTTCACTTTTCTTTCACTTTTGCGGCAAATGGAAGCGACGCGAGTTAAGGCGGAGTTACGTCAAGGCAGCGAGGCAACACGAGAAACCCAAAGCAGGTAGCTTTAATTCGTCCTGTACGTTCGTATCACTCCTCCTCTGTGGGTCCACGGATTACGGTTTAGGGCGTATTTGTGTATCTGGCACGAGCAACACGCAAAGGATCCGGACCCGGCAACAGTCCCTCCTTGGGACTCCGTGTGGCGTTACTTATTCAGATGCAATTTGAAAGGCCTAGGTCGAGGGCGGGGTTCGAGTTTAGCTTTAGCGGCATTATAAAAATAAATCCATATAGGTAGATGTACAGACTGGCGCTTTTCTTCTATTCGCTACGGCTAAGTATCTTGTATATATCTCGTAGGTGTATATATATATATATATTGTATATAGAGAGGCAACTACTTGGTAGTTTTAGTTAGTCGATAAGTGCGTTTATGTTGCGGTTATTTGAATTTGCTGTCCTACGGGCTGAGACGCAGGTCTCTCTACAAACTACGAGGTTAGTTCCATTACTCTATCTCAACGGGGATTACGCTCTATATCCTTGGGCTGTATCGATAATTTCCAGCGGTGAACAAACGTCAACGAACTACGTTAATATTTTGCTGTTTTTGGTTTTTGTAGTGGTTTGCGGATAGCGTTTATCGTTTATCTATAGCACTTTTGTATATAGCGAGTGTCCCTTTGTATAATTCTAAAAGTAATTCTAATCTTGGGTTTGCTTGTCGGGTTACGCCTTTAAGATTTGCTCAATTTCATTGTTGCAGGTACTTTGGTTTTGGTTTTATCATTACGTTCTATTTTTGGTTATCGCGTGTCCTATATTTTTAGGCGTTTCCAGGGTTTTTCCACTTGCTGACTGGCTCTGGCGTTGATTAAATAATGTTGCACTTTGCGCTGATTTATCGTGTTTGCTTTCGTGTCCTTGCTTTCGCTGGTTTCCGCTTTTGTTGCTCGGGGTTTTATTTTTATTTATTCGTGCTTGTCTCTTGTCTTTTATATTTCCTTATTTTTTGCCAGTCGTTCTATTTGATTATGTAATTATGCTTGGTTTCTTATTGGATATTGAACGGTACGTGTGTCCTAGGGCTATGTGTGTGTGTGTATGTGTGGTGTGCGGTTGTGTTGGTGTGTTACATGCGATTTTTTCAGCTGCTGCGGCTGTGTTTGTGGTGGTTTCGTTGGATTCGTGGGTTGCGATAGACGTAAGTGGTTCGTCATCAACATTTTTCGCACATACATACACGATTCACGGGCGCCACACGGGGCATTGTGTATGTGTGTGTGTGTGTGTACGTGCGTGTGTGTGCGTGTGCCAGTGTGTGTCCTGCTAGATGGAATTTATTGAATGAAACGTCAAGCGATTTGACGAATTTTAAACAAATTATTTATAACACACAGAGACACAGGAGGCACGCACACGCAAATGCTGCGAGAGAGGCACGCACAGACACAGTTCACAGTCGTGGCACGAAGAACGGCATAGGACACACAGGACACACGGTGGGTGGCAATGGTACTGGTAGTGGTGGTGGTGGTGGTGGTGGGCGGACAACAAGGAGGAGCCGACGAAGAGGAAGCCAGGAGGAGTGGAGCTGAAAGTGGGAGGAAGTGCACACGTTAAATCAATGCTTCTTTTGACCTCTATTACAATTTCGTTCGCTTTCGTCTTTTGCCATCTTCCCTCCACCTCCTACTGCTCCTCCACCAGCTTGCTCCACCTCGCCCTCGTCGCTTTGGAACTCCTCTTTTTCCCGAGCCCACGACTACCTGACAATTTTTTCAACGCCCGTGTTACGGCACATTTAATATTTCATATTTTCATATATGTAGGGCTCAATGCACCAGATACACAGTCGCTGGCTCACCAAATTCACGTTATTTGATTACTTTGCTTTACTTCGTTTTGATTTCACTTGGTTATTCTATTTCCTCTTTTTTATTGGGTCGCGCTGGCTCCTTTCGTTTAAGTGTTTATCACAATGCTGCTATCGCTGAATGCTGATTTATGCCATTCGCCACCGAGCAGCGCACTTAAACTTGCTATTTGAAATTTCTTCTTTATGTAACGAACGGAATAACGGCACACTCGCTGCTGCTGCTGCGACTGCTACTGCTGCTGCTGCGACTGCTGCTGCTGCTGCGACACGAACGAACTCAGCGCGACAAGTGAAACTTGGCTTCCCGATTCGCATGCCACTGACGTGCGCCGTGGTAACAGAAACAGAAGCAGAAACGGCCGAGCCGAGTCCGCGAGATTCGCTGAAAATCGATAAGGACAGGCAAAGTCGCCTGCCAAAATCCTGAGGAGGAGGTGGCGGGGCAGGAGGACCGGGATGGCAAAGGCGAACGGCACAAAAGCACATTCTTCTGCGGCCAAAGTGAAACCGAGAGCATGTGGGTGGCGCGGCAGTGAAAGTGCACATGTCCTGAGTGTCTCGTGTCCTGCGGCACAGTGAAGGGTGTGTCCAATGGATAGGTCCCTTGGATGCTCCTCTAATATCTCGTGGAGCATACAGATCGGACTTAATATGATCATACAGATCATAATATATGATATGGTAACATAATTAAATACATACGTACCCACTTATACAGATAAATGACTAACTCAGTGATACGCTTATAATAAAGATGATAATTAATTACTTTATATGTCTCTAAACATCTTTAAAAATAAAACTTATTTTAATTACATACTACTTTTTTACCATAAATACAATGGTAATTGTTACCATGGGTAACAAAGAACCTCGAGTGTTTAGAAATTAATTTCATATTGTACATATTATTTATCTACATTATGTATATGAAATTATAAATCATTAAAAGTATTGCCATCCCTGTATTAACTAAAATATACTTTCAGAAAAATGCAATGGGCAATTAAACACCATTCGTCAAAAACAATAGCTTACTTCTAGGGGTCTGCCGATACTGTAACCGTGCAAATAATTTGGACCGCCAGTGTGTTACTCGCATGCCTTTTCGGCTGAGAGCGCGAGTGCGCATTTGCCAGGCTCTCAGGCGAGTCCTTTCACTCGCTCGCAGTCCTTTTGTCCGCTCCCGCTGCACAAACAGGAGCCGAATCCGAGTCCGAGTTGAGAATGAATCGCCGCGCCGAGGAGCACTTCGGATTACAGCCTTTGTGTTTTCGCCCTGAATGAAAGTCAGCCAGCCTGGGCCATCAGCCATCAGCTGGCTCGTTCGGTTGGCTGTGGGCTCCAACGCTTTCTGAATTGCGCTGCCCACGCGAGGCGGCGTCCAAGTAAACAAATACATGTGCGCACGGCTGTGATAATAGGGCGTCGCGCACATGTTCAGCTGTAAGGTCAGAGCACAGCGTGTCCTTACAGTGAGCCATGGCCACAGCGACGCAAGCACACGGCCAACAATGGGATTAAAGATCAAGGACAATCTGATCACTTTTCAAGATTCATGTCATCACATCGATTCGAGCTTAAGAAGATTTTTACATACATGCACTTGGAAACTATCATAATCTTTATTAGAAAAAACAAGATAGAATTCTATTGTCGAGTTCCCCGACTATCAGATATCCGTTACTCAGCTACTGAAAGTGCAAACGAGAAAACAAGACAAAAATAATGAAATGATAAAAAAAAAATATTTAAAAGAGTGGGCGTAAGAGTTTTGGGCGGTTTGTGGACGTTAGAGTGGGCGCGTCAAAAAGTTTTCTGGCAAATCTATAGAAATTTACAAGATATATAAAAAAGTGTAAAATATCATTTTCTCAATATCGCGCTTCTCAAACGTGCTACCTACGATGCCATCGAACGCAGTTCGATGCAGAACGCAGCTGCCATGGAACGCACCGATTTTTCGAAGAGCCCTCCTCTGCGCTTCTCAAACGGGCTACGTAAGCTTCCATCGCACGCACCGAATTTTCGAAGAGCCCTTCTCTGCGATTCTCAAATGGGCTACCTAAGCAGCCGCATAACTTCGAGTTTTCGAAGAGCCCTCCTCTGCGCTTCTCAAATGGGCTACATAAGCTGCCATGGAACGCACCGCTTTTTCGAAGGGCCCTCCTCTGCGCTTCTCAAACGGGCTACGTAAGCTGCCATCAAACCTTGTTTCCGCAGTGGTTCTTCGCCCAGGGCTTCCAATTCCTCCGGATCGGCACAGCATTTCCACGATTCCTGGACACCACCATTATGGTTTCATGGTAATAAAGATCCTCCGGCTGATTAAGGGCATCCGGATAGTTAAGTAGCTGGAGGCTAAACCAACAGTGCTGCCAATAGCGGGTGAGTCAAAACATTTAGATTTAGACTTCAAAATCCGATTAAGATAAGTTGAGTTATGGAGTTTAGAACTTCAGCCTACAACATAATACATCAGAAAAATTAAAAGAAAAAATTTAATGCCACCTTAAAGGCATTGTCAAGACGCGCTATCCTCTGTATGGCGATGGTGATTTGTGAGGCTGCAGTGCTTTCCGTCTCAGTAGAAGCTTGACATATAACGTAAGTTCTATAACGCAAGTAACCTTACTAGATCCCATTCACCAGGAAGGCTCAATAGATGTAAACCGAAGGATCTCATACTTCGATCTCCAATAATAAGGCTCAGGCGTACCCGACCGAATCCATTTTTATTTATTCATTGTTAATCTAAACCCAAAACTCTGGAAGCTGCAACTTTCTAGCTTTTGAAGTTCCTGAGATCGAGGCGTTCATACGGACATGGTCAGATCGACTCGGCTATTGATTCTGATCAAGAATATATATACATTATATGGTCGGAAACGTTTCCTTCTGCCTGTTACATACTTTTTAACGAATCTAGTATACCCTTTTACTCTCCGAGTGACGGGTATAATAAAAAGAGGATATTAAGTTTGAGTTTAGATACCTACTTACTATTTTGTTGCACAGTTTTCCCGTGCTAACTACAATCGGGCAACAAACAAAACGAGTATTATATACAAAAGGCAATGAGGTAGACTACTAGAGGTCCGGGAAACGCCTCCCCTGACCTGAAAGTTTCCGAAGAAGAAAGTCCGCGGTCGCTTCAGGGAAGGTAATTGCTGGCACTGCCCGGAGAACCACTTCCGCGTATTTCCATCGCTGTCCCGGGATACTATACATATCTCAGCGTTATGCAGTTTCTCTTCTCCTAGCGCCGAGAGTTCTTCCACCGGGATCTGGGCAGTACGATTGTTATAGGCATAGTCCGACTGGTAGAGCACATCGTTGTGAATGCTCCGTATATAAACGTGAAAGTCCGAGACGTCTGAAAAGCCGGAGACATACCAGCTTAGGGTCAACATGCCAGCTTTGTTGCTATGGGAAAAATATATGATTTACAAGGGTTATAAGTTACATTAAGTTCAAACTACAAAATATGCATACGTTTTCACTTCTCGGAATCTGACATCTGTAAGCTGTTCATAGTCAATGCCCTTATACATCTCTTGCTCATCCTCGGCGCAGTGCAGATACTCATCGTCTAAAGATATGAGCTGCTTGTCCTTGATCAAAGCCGGCGTTGCGCAGTAAGTTCTCTGCAAATCTTCACTAGCTATCGTTTGCTGCAGCATAAAGTACTTTAGAGGTCGTGCATTGCAACCGCAGTGCAGGGGATTGCCAGCCAGAAGCACTTGACTACCATTCCGCATGCTACCCACTATCGAAGCTGGCACATCTTCCAGAATATTGTTGGTAATATCGACGTATTTGAGGGATTTCACTTTCACCAGATTGGCGAAGGGCAAGTGGAAGATTCGATTATGGGAAAGGTCCAAGCGGCTCAGGTTTTGTGGCAGATCAAAGATGTGCTCTTCAGACTTTAGATTAGACAGATCATTGTGAGACAGGTCCAAACTTTGGAGTGAAGTGAAATTAGAGATAACTCCTCTCCTTAGATCGTTGATCTGATTGTGCGATATATCCAACTTAACTAGCTTTTTAGTACCAAAGGTAATATCATAGGTCAATATTGGCATTAAATTGTAGCTCAGGTTCAAGTTTTTCAGGTTATATGGAATGTACTGATGAGAAGGAAATGTTTTCTTGGTCACAAAACTTATACGATTGTGACTCAAATCTAAGGTTTCCAAGCTGAGCAAATCATCCAGAACACCATTGGTTTTGTTGTCCAATTTGGTAAGGAAATTAAATGACAAATCAAGGTTTCGCAGCGATGGTAAGCCGATAAATATATCATTTTGCAGAGTCTCTATTCCGTTGGATGACAGATTTAAAGTGAGCAGTTGCAGCAGGCCCTCAAAAGCTCGCTTGCTACAAGTTATAAAAGCAAGATTTTATAAAAAAATATACAAATTTTATATAAAAACATACCTTATATCCTTAACTTGATTACCATACAGATTTAACTCAAATAAGACGGGCAGCTTACCAAAGGCACTTCGCTCTAAGGTCGTAATATTGTTGTTCTAAACGAAAAGTTGGATGAGTTCACATTTTAGAATTTTCATAAGATTTGCTCACCTCCAAATATAAGTACTGCAGTGTTGACATGACAGCTACCGCCTCCATTGGAGGCTGACTGATGCCATTGTTTTGCAGCTTCAGTCGTTGCACCACCAACAGACCAGTAAAACTTTCGCCGTTTAGACTGTCCCCCAGCTGGTTATGGCTCAGGTCCAAGTAGATCAGTGAGTTCATCACTGGCCAGGTGCCCGCTGGTATCTGAGTGAGTCTGTTGTGGCTGAAGTAGAGCTCATTTAGTGAAATAGGCAACTGGAAGAGTTTTTCCAGTTGATTGTTATTTAAATACAGCTGTCGCAAGCTGGTCAACTTGGCCAGCGATCCTCGCACCACGGACACCAGTTCATTATGACTCAGATCCATGTCTAAGAGGGTTGGCAAAGTGCCAAACGTCGAGGACTTGATTTCCCTCATGCTATTATAGCTCAGATCAATTGAACGTAGCGAGAATAGGGTTTGAAAAACACCATTAAATACACTGGAGATGTTATTGTGCGAGACATCGATGGTGTGCAGTTCATAGAGTTTCGGAAAACAGTTTTTGGGTATGTCGGTTATGCTGTTGTACGAGGCATTCAATACTTTCAAGCCTGTCATATTTTGGATGGGAATCTGTAGTATAAAATACAAAAATTAGTAATCGTTTAACCTTGAAAGCATTCACTATTACCTGTGCTAGGTTGGTAAGATTGTTAAAGCTCAGCTGAAAATAGGTGGCGAAAGTGGTCTCATCGAAGCTGC